TTAACCCGCGCACCGACGGGGTCTGCGCCAACTTAGAACCGACGGAGCGGGGGCGGTTGACCCCCCCCCCCGAGATCTCGAGAACGAAGCAAGATAGAGACAAGCGGTAAACGGCATGGGGTACGCACGGACAAGGCCTAAATTTTACGAAGGTAATTTTCAGGTCAGGTTTTCAGGTCAGGTCAAAGATGACGTCACAGGGGCCAAAAAAAAGTCAAAATGGTGGCGCAAAATATGAGGAGTTTTTCTCGAATAACTTTCGAAGTAACCAAGCTAGGAACAAACTAATGGCACCATCGTGATCCTCTCGTCAATCCGAATCGAATATATATGTAGTGTTGACCTCAAAAAGTGAAGGTCAAAGGTTGACCTCAGGTCACGTGACCTCAAGGTCAACTTGTATATCGTTCGATACGCCTTGACGAGCTGAATACGATGAGACCATCCGCGCGGCGGTACCTTATTCCTGTGAGGAGTTATTAGCTAAAAACCTTTGGTGACCCTTGATGACGTCACATGACCTTACAGTTGCCCAAGAGCAAAAAAGGCCTCAAGGTAGTCAAAGTTGATCGTATATAAGGCCATCCATGGTATATTGGGCCACTACAACCTTTTAGTGAAAAAAACAGGGGGTTAATTTTTCCCCCATTGACTTCTAATGGCATGGGGAGGTCAAGAAATCGACCTAGCCTTAGGTCATCGATATCAAAATTCCGAGATATGCAAATTGTAGCTACTAATGACCTCGTTACATCCTGCGACTTTCAAAGGCCTCCGTCATTACTGTTGCTCTGACACGGTGACAAAGTTGCAAAAAAGTGATTTGAGGCTGGGTCATTCGAAGTGACCTGGTGACCTGACCTTGAAAGGTAGGAAGTTCAACCTTGCACACCATGTGACATATAAGTGCATGTATGGCCTAAACTTTTGAAATCATTTTAAAAGGGATAAAAACGCAAGAAATTACCCAACGTTTCGCATGTATTGCTTAGTCATGGGTGTTTGAGTGCGATTGTGACACTTTTTGAATGCATCATGTGAAAATTGCATCTGAATCACACACTTTTTGGAGGAGAGGTCTTTTTCTGGGATGAATCGCTTTTCTTCAAAGGATGAGAAAACTCATGTGCCTCGCTTGCTCTTTTATTGCTCCATTTTGGGCGAAGCTTGCTTGGCGCTGAGTTCGTAAGGACTTGTTCTTCATTGCATCTTCGAAGAAATTCAATTCGTTCGGTCGTTCGGTTTGCTTTCATTAAAGATAGAAAGATTACCTAACGTGCTATGACTCATTCATTGCACTTCTTGACATGACATGACATGACAAATGACATGACATGATAATCCTCAACTTGCACACCATGTTTAAAATTGATGAGGGAAAGTCATGCCCAATTTCGCGGCGCTACGCGCCGCGGTTTTGCGTTATTCGCGAAAAACCTCGGGGGGGGGGGGGCGGTCAACCGCCCTCCCCGTCGGTGCGCGGGTTAAGTCGCCGATATCAAATTTATTCATTTTTTAGTTCTTATAACTCTTATCAATCGCTGAGAGTTTCATGGTGATCGTTCAGTCGATGTAACTATGACGAGCATTCTAACTTTTTCTGAGGTGAGGAGACTCGACGTGACCTGGTGATGGGACCTAGACAGGTGTGCCTGATGCTCAGCCCCTGATAAAGAGAGCTGCAGCCCCCCCCCCCCCAATGGACTGTTCCTGTTTGACCCGCATAAATGTACTGATATATGTAGAAACAATATATTGAGAGTTAACGATGACCATGTGTCATGCTTCCTTCAGGTTCCCAAATATATTTCACAAAGATGGGATAAAGCTCCAGGAAACATAGAAGTTGGGAAACTTCGCATCGCCAGGTAATATTTATCGATGTATCTATGACGAGCATTCTAACTTTTTCTGAGGTAAGGAGACTCGACGTGACGGTTACATTTATCCGTTCTTGTGGCCACATTTTTGCTGATACTGATTCACTTACACCCTGCTCTTTTGCTTAATGTTTTGGAAAACCTGCAGCTGGCCATACATGATCGACTGTGCTTTACAGGACACCGTCTGGACAGAAGTCTGGGCAGTCTGGACGTCCGAAGCTGGACGTGTCCTTCTCCTTGAGCGAAGCGGTGCTGGCAATGGAGAAGTCCGAAGCCATTCCAAAGGACCACAAGTTTGTCATTAGCAACGTCAACAACCAGACGCTCGGCGTGTTCTCTCAGACTACCCGTGAGCTCCTCCTCGGTTATTTTGAGGGCTCTGCTGCTCTCTCTCTCTCTCTCTCTCTCTCTCTCTCTCTCTCTCTCTCTCTCTCTCTCTCTCTCTCTCTCTCTCTCTCTCTCTCTCTCTCTCTCTCTCTCTCTCTCTCTCTCTCTCTCCTCTCTCTCTCTCTCTCTCTCTCTCTCTCTCTCTATCTCTCTCTCTCTCTCTCTCTCTCTCTCTCTCTCTCTCTCTCTCTCTCTCTCTCTCTCTCTCTCTCTCTCTCTCTCTCTCTCCGATATGACATTTATGCTAACTGGCTCTTTATTTTCTTTGTTGTTCTTGTTTTTTTTTTTGTTTCTATGTTCTTTGTTGTTCTTGTTCTTGTTCTTTGTTCTATGTTCTATGTTTTTTTGTTACGTTTCCTGCTTATTTTGTGCACGTTCTTTGCAGTGTCTCATGTCTCCTGTATGTGAGAACATTTAATGAAATGTGGAATTGAACCTCGACAAAGAGCACACATTTACTTGAACAACTTTTTATGGGAAAAAACTGAATTTGCGACTTGTGTGATGCCTTGACATCGTTGTTAATTTGAATCCGTGAACAGTGAACGGACTTTTTGTCACCAGCACGGCCAACAGTAATGCTGTCGTCCCGGAGACGGAAAAACTCATGATGGAAGGAAGAGTTATCCAGCGGGCTGAATGCAAGCCGGAAGGTAAGCATATCATTACTCTGTATCTGTTGTAAGGTTAGCAGGTGTATGTAGTATCGCGAACAGTGACGTAAAGGAAAACAATCATATTTTAATCATTTAAGGTCAGATAGCCAGGTTACCATAAGCGACCTTAATCACGAACAAGTACATTATTGCTGTAATTCCACCTTCCACCAACAGGACTGGCTGCTGCGAACTTTTAGTTATTATTTAGGGTAGCAGGATTAATGGGATGTGTTGTTTTATTTGTTTTATTTTATCTCTGACTTGTTTTATTTTATTTGTTATCTTTTTCTCATCGGTAACTGCACGGACATGTTGTTTTGCAAATTTTCCATTTTAAATTAGACATTTTAAATAATTCTCTCGTTTTTCCAAACGAGTATTTCTACATGCTCTCGAACATCATTTCTTATGTTGCTATCGAATACGTATTGAATGTGAGAATTGGAATAGTGACCTGGCCCCACATGTTTTGAGCTCTTTTTTTTAGCTCAGTTTTTCGGACATCACCTTCGATAGAGGCGTGGTAGAGCGATGAAACACCTTTGAAATGCATGTATTCAGCTTACAGATTGACTGATCGACTGGCATGCAACTTTACCGTTAATCTGGCAAATTAGATAAAGTCGAACTTCGAAGTTAATTCGTCATCTCGTTTTGATATCTCGAGAGGTCGAGAACCACACGAGCGATTTTGTTTTAGGCAAATATCTTCCGATTTTTTGTTTGCATTGTGCATCGCAATATACATTTAAAAGAAAGGAACTGTTGTATATTTGGGAATTGGGACTCAGTGCAAATTGGTGTCAAAGCGTTTTTATTGAATGTCTGAGCTTTATAATACTAGTAATTTTTTTTTTAAAAACCCTAAATGGTACCTAAATTTCCTACAAAATACTTGCACAGATGAGTGAGGTCGCCCCCTAACAAAAAATCACTTTTAGGAAATCTAGCAAATCACAATTTTTCCGACATTCGGGGATTGGCCTGACCTGGAAGGTCAACCATACAGTTGGATGGCATCGATTTCCTCCGTCACGAGCAGCATGCTCGTTTTTTTCGTGAAGCTGTAGCTCGATCGGGTCGGGGACGAAACGGCTGCGAAGGGGGATACCATAGGGCATAGACGCTGTAAAAAGGCCAATGCGGACAATTGTTAATGAACATGACTATCTCAATACAGAATGATTATGCCCTATTCCAAGTGTGCCTTAGCGTTTTTTTTTTCGTCAGCCCTCCGTCAGCTGATAAAGATGCCGGTGGTATAATGTTTCAATGTTCGTTTGATTCTCTCGTAATCGCGCTGCGTGCTCTTACACTACCGGTTGTGTACCGGTACAGGTAGCGAGACCTACATGAAACTGAAGCTGGAGGGCTTCCGAAAGTCGGCCGTGCCGGCCCGCATGGCCAAACGGCTGGACGACGTGGTGCACGTGAAGCCCGTGGCCAATCACCGCTACAACGTGAGTGGGCGCCCCGTCGGCCGTGGCCGCCGTCGGCAGACCGACCCCCGATGGTTTGGGCCTTTGCGGTGACCTGGTCACTGGCCGTGTTCGATGTTAAGTGTTAATGGATACTTAAACACGATTTTTACGACCTGTCCTCGTCATTTGAACGGTCGGAATTGGCAATGAAAAAAACGAAGAAAGTGTATATAAATTCAGTTTGATATGCTTCAACAGATTTTTACATTGCATTGCATTACATACTGACTTGAGTAGTGAGTAGCCTTATGAAATGAAAGCACTTCGGCGTCTCAAATATAATATTATAGGCTAAATCTTACTGTTACCGGATGTGTAGTAACTTTGGAGGTTAGGTTCTGATTTCAAGCTGAACCCTAGAGAGCAGAAGATATACCTCAGTCGCTGATAGCACGAATATTATTTCATGGCCAATATGTAACTGGGTTAGTGCCGGCCCCGGAAGTTCGTCGATTCTCCCTGACGCTTGCTCTGCCCTTCGCTCCGGCAGGTGGAATTCACCCAAAAGAAGAAGTCCGAGGGTAAGAAGGTTCGAGACGACAAGGATAAGGTGATGAATGTTCTCTTTGCCGCCTTCGAGAAGCACCAGTACTACAACATCAAGGATCTGGCGGGCATTACCCGGCAGCCTGTGGTAAGTCGAATAGCCTCTGACCGCTTCTGCGCAGGTACGCTGAACTGCTGTGACAGTATGGTATGTTTGAACGTAGTTGATTATTTCGACGGGCATGGTCAGTAGAATACCTAATTACGATGCCGACGATCCCCTAAAGAACATCAGTCCGACTGGCCTGTTCCTCTGTGGCACTGATCTGGCCACTGATCTACATACCCCGACCCGGGCAGCTGGTCTGCACAGCTGTGGTCTGCCTGTCCACTGGTCTGGTCCAATCGCTAGGTCTGTTCCATCACTGGTTTGGTCTGTCGTACCCCGGTCTGCCTGCTCGGTAGCCTGGTGTCGGCTATGTTCCGCAGCCAGGCCTCAGTCCTGGTCTGTTTCTCGTTGTATACGAGTATAGTTATAGTCCATGTTGTGTCATCTTGACGGAACTCAGTAGGCTCTGCGATGCCGTGGTAGAAGCTCCATGATTGGTATTTGTCTCCATTTTACTCATTTATGTAATTTAACTCAATAAAAATAAGTGTTTGCCATAAAGAGAGATGCTGAACGACTACTTTAAAACTCTGGGATTGTTCGGAGTGAGAGGAAAATGCTTGAGACTCTCATCAGCTCCGTTGTGACACAGTCATGCCCATTTGTGATCTTCCCGTTCCGTCAGTTAGAATTCAGCTGTGATCTTGCGTGTTGTTGGGCTCAATATAGGCGGGTTCCAGCGGTCAGCAGTACGGACGCGGTGAATACCCTAGCTCTCCCTCCCCTCGAGTGAACAGGGATGCACTCGGTCAGTCTTACAGCGGGGCCGGGGTCCCTCTGACAGTTGACAGCTGTCGGCTTGACTTCTGTGGGCGTAGGATCCACAACCACGTGTCAAGTGGGAAGGTAAAAGAGGAGGTTAACGGGTTATTTTTGGTGTTCGATTACCCTCCACTTAAACCTACTAAAGGCCGCCCCACACTGGACCTCGCATGCGGGTTGCGAGTTTTTGGGTTTTCGGGTTTCTTTAAAATTAAAGCATACACTCTATGCTCAGGGACCCACACCAACATGTAGCAAGCGAGTCTGCATGTTTTTAGCATGCGAGCCAACTTGCATCGCATTCCAAAAGTTGATTTTGAGTCAACTTTCGATTTTCCTCGCTACGAGGGCTGCGAGTTTTGGTGTGTTTTGTTGAAGTCGAATTTTGGTTCGCTGAGCTCTTATTGCGATAATATGCAATTTTCTGAGGGTGTGCCGGCTTCACTGCTTTAATGTAGTGACCATAAGAGAATGGTTTAATCACTTTAATCACTCCATGAATGCGTATTACACCCGCGAATCCAAAACCCGCTAAATTGCAACCCGCATGCGAGGTCCAATGTGGGGTGGCCCCGAGGATACGATACGGGTGAATACCATTTCTTCTATATAAAAATTTATATAATCGAATCTTTATGAGAATATAATTTTTGTGAATACCGGATGCATACGCCTTCCTCGGGGTATTTACGCCGGGATAGGGGTAACATTTGAATGTGAATACGGCCACTGGGTGTATTCAGTCTGCATCACAAGGTCTGTTGCTAGGACCCTTATATAAAGACCAATACAACATGCCGGTCGTGCTTTGTCGCTAAATCATGCTTAAACGAGTCATACTAAAAACCAAGAATTAAATAATATTAACCCGCGCACCGACGGGGATCTGCGCCAACTTCGCACCGACGCACAGTGTGGCCAAACGCCAGATTAGCGCGAATTTAATCAAAAAACGAATTTTGGAATTTTGACTTTTTATAGCTATCAGTCGATAGGAAATTGTCCAAAGTATGTCAATATCACAAAACTTTGGTTCAATGTCTTCCTTTCGGTGTCCAAAAAGCTAGCTAAAGTGGACATACGCAATGCCGGTCCCCGCTGTGCTGAAATCGTCGAAAACCCGCGTCATGTTTACAACACATTTTGGCGTAATTGTCGGAAATATTTGGAAGTAATTGGAGTGGCATATGACTACTGAGCCTATATTTGATAGTATACCCGAATTCTATAGGTATCCTTGGACTAACCGATGAGTTATGCTCATTTGAAAATGACCTTTTCAAACAGCCCCTGAAAACACAGTCCATCTTAAAAACGTAGAGATATAAGAAAATGGCCAAAAAACTCCACGCCAAATCTACCATGAGAAGATTCGCCACACTTTTCTGGACATGATCCATTCAAGAAACCCTGCCCCAACCTGCCCCCCGGCCTTTGGCTCAGCTTTGAACGTATCGGGTTGGCTCGCCCGGGGAGGTCCGGCTACAGGGTGGGCGCGGCAGCGGCTCCGTAACGTTACGCGGATGGCTCAACCGCTGCATTTCTGACTTGTTATATTGCAGAATACGGTCGCCAATGAATAAATCTTGACAATTTTTCAACCCTCGCCCATATAGGGGGTGAGGGTGGGGTCGAAAGGACCCCTCTCGGTTTTTCGCAAAAAGCTCATGTAAAAAGCGGCCGATCGCGACGAAACTTTCAGTACACTCGAGTTTATCAATTTTACACCTACCCTTTAAATTTCACGACCCTGACCCCAATGACCTTTGACCTGTGACCTATTTCTCGAGACCATGTTTGGCCGGAGGCGCGATTGGGCGTATGTTTGCTTGCATTAGTCGCGCGTTTGCAGTCTTTTCGTGGTTTCAAGCGTCTAAACATGTGATATAATGATGTTGGTCCCATGCATTATGGTCGGTGTCAAGATCACTTGAAGGTCAGGTCAGTTCAATGACCTTTGATGACCTCGGTTCACCTTTTTTAGTTTTACTTGTTTCCAGGCTAGTTTTTGGAGCTGATTTCGAATTTAGTAACCATTTGAACATTTAGGAAGAAGTTTGGTGCCTTCGTAACATGCAACGAAGCTGTCACTGGCGGTTGACACCTATTAATTATGAATACCCGGCAGGACTGGTTGGCCTGACCTGACCTGACCCGACCTACGTTCGCGGCTAGCAAAACACCAATGCGGGCGAGGGTTAATGACATGAAGGTGCTTATGGTGTAAGTCTTTGTTTTTACTCCCATTGCTGAGGCTCAGTCCTATCGGTGCGTGTATTTCAGCAACCATCTACCGATTCATGTGCTTCACCAGGAACATTCACACAGAAACATAATTAGATGTTGATTTTTTTCAAGCAAACTTTGGACAATCATAAGAATTTACCAGAGAAATGATGGGAATTTCGTAAACGATTCCTCCTCCTAACATGCCCATCATTGCTGGGACCCACAATCCTATGCCTCTTATTTGCGGTTAAATTCCAGGATTTCGTAATCAGAGTCGGAGTCGTTCGGAGTCAACAGTTCTGACCCTGCAGTCAGAGCCGGAATCGGAATCGATTTTAGAATCCGGACCAAGACTCGTAGTCTGAGTCACCGGAAATCCATCGACTGCGTGGACTTGCCATGGCTGCGGAGTCAGAGTCCGAGCCGATCGTATAGCTCGACAGTTTTGCCCGGAGTCAGAGTTGAAATTGACTTTTGAAAGCCGTAGTCGGAGTTGGAGTAACTCCATCGACTTCACAGCCCTGGCCTGGTAAGCACATCACCCGTCGTAAGCTAGTTCTCCTTACTTTTAGAGGCGGAACTATGCCATTATATGTCAGCAAGCATTTATAATGCATCGTAAAAGGTCTCACATAGGTTTAAGTGTCAATTTTGAAACCAGGGAACCATTTTCAACGGATCCGAGCAGCGCTGGGATTTAATTCGCGCTAAACTGGTGTTTGGCCACACTGTGCGACGGGGGGGGGGGCGGATGACCGCCCCCCTGAGATCTCGAGAACGAAGCAAGATAGCGACAAGCGGTAAACGGCATCGGATACGCACGGTCAAGATCTACAATTTTTACTAAGGTCATTTTCAGGTCAGGTCAAAGATGACGTCACAGGGGTCGAAAAAGTCAAAATGGCGGCGCTGGATATGGAGAGAGTTTTTCTCAAATAACTTTCGAATTAGTCAAGATAGGAACAAACTAAGGGCATCATCGTGATCCTCTCGTCAATCCGCATCGAATGATATATATGTTGACCTCGAAAGGTCAAGGTCAAAGGTTGACCTCAGGTCACGTGACCTCGAGGTCATCATGTATATCATTCGATGCGTCTTGACGAGCTGAACACAATGAGACTATCCACGCGTCTGTATCTTGTTCCTGTACGGAGTTATTGGCCGAAAACCTTTGGTGACCTTTGATGATGTCACATGACCTTACAGCTGCCCAACAGCAAAACAGACCTCAAGGTAGTGAAGGTTGATCGTATATGAAGTCATGTATGGTATATGGGGCCATTCCGACCCGTTTTAGTGGTAAAAACAGGGAGTTGATTTTTCCCCCATTGACTTATAATGGGGAGGTCGCGAAATTGACCTGACCTTAGGTCACCGATATCAAAATTCCGAGATATACAAATTGTAGCTACTAATGACCTAATAACATCATGCGACTTTCAAAGGCCTCCGACATCTACTGTAGCTCTGGCACGGTGACAAAGTTGCAAAAAAGTGACTTGAGGTTGGGTCATTCAAAGTGACCTGGTGACCTGACCTTGAAAGGTAGGAGGTTCAAACTTGCACACCATGTGTAAAATTGATGAGGGAATAGTCATACCAAATTTCGCGGCGCTACGCGCCGCGGTTTTCCCGCTATTCGCGAAAAACCTCAGGGGGGGGGGGGGCGGATATCCGCCCCCCCGTCGGTGCGCGGGTTAAAAACTCACAGACGTATTTCGTTCATATGTGAGGTGTTTCATGAATGTCTAACCGTGGGATTGTGCTAAGGACTTGAATTATGTCATCAAATCATACGGCAAGAATTACAGATTGAACAAGAACTGTAAATTGATAGTTAACCCGCGCCCGGCTGGGGGTCCTGGATTTCCACGCCCTGCTGGGGGGGGGGGGTAGTATTTGAACACCCCCCCCCCCTTGTAACTCGGCTCCTGAGCCACGTAGCGATACGCGGAAGGCGGCGTTCGAAAGAGCGTCAAAAATAATGACGAAATCACTTCGGTCAATTTTTTGATCAGGTCAAGGGTCAGGTCACCAGAGGTCATTGAAGGCAAAATTTCGCCGATTTCCAGGTCGAATGTCGACAATTTCCAAGAAGCCAACGCATAACTCGGGAACCAATAGAGCTACAGCGCCGCGGAAAAGCGCATTCGATAGCCCTATTAACGCCCTTTCTGGGTAATTCTCTCAGATTTGACCTATCGTCAACGGTTTTGCCTGCAGGGGGCAAAAACTGCAAAAATAGCCGATTTTTTTTCGGAAACAGTTTTTCTGCAATAACTTTTGACCCAAGCCTTGTACGAGCTTACTTTTACCAGCATCGTGTTCCTCTCGTCAAGACGCATCGAATGAACTATAAATTGACCTTGAAAGGTGAACTTGAAAATTTGACCTCAGGTCAAGGTCATGACCTGACCGGAAAGGGTCATGTTGCATATCAGTCGATCCGTATCGTCTAGCTGAACACATCTAAGGCGTTTTCATCGCTCTAGCATGCCTCTATCAAAAGTTATTTGCGAAAAACTGTTAGATACCATTCGTGACCTAAGATGACCTCAGGGCATAAACAAGGGTCACGGACACCATTTTCATGTTCAGTGTGTCTAAACCACTTGTAATTTGGTGTTTGGGAGTGTTTATAATGTCTTCCGTCCAAAAGAGGCGCATTTCAATTTTCTCCCATTGACTTATAATGGGGAGGTCGCAAAATTGACCTGACCTTAGGTCATCGATATCAAAATTCTGAGAAATACATTTTGTACATGCTATTGCTCTTAGCAATCGCTGAAAGTTTCAAAGCGATCGGTCACTCGGTGTAGCTATGACAGACATTGGAACTTTTTTATGAGGTGAGGTCACTTCAAGTGACCTGCTGACCTGACCTTGAATGACCTTGGTCTGAAATTTTCACAACATGTGTAGAATTGATGTGTGATAAGGTGTACCAAAAACGGCGGCGCTCCGCTCCGCCGTTTTTGAGATATTCGCGAAAAACCACAAGGGGGGGTGTTCAAACACCCCCCCCCAGCAGGGCGCGGGTTAAGATAAGTTTTGAGATAATAACTTTTGATAGAACTACGAAGTACAGACAGGATATCAGCTTAGCCTTAACAATATGAATGTTTTGATATAAACGTTCACATTTTGCTTCGATCACATTTGCGGTAACTTCGAAAATTACGGCAGTGGTGAGATTCGTTTTGGGGTAGTTTACCGCAAAATGAGTTTACCGCACTTGGTGAGATTGGGCCAAGTGGTCGAATTTTATCGTGTTATTCCTCGTGTCATTACTTAGTATATTACACGTCTCCATAACAACGTGATAAGGTTGAAGTTGATGACACAATAATATATCATCATTTTAAAAGAAGCTAAAACTCCGCCGAAGGCCTAAAAATATTTCTGCTGGGGGGCAATGCAGTTTGCTCAACGACAATTTTGACAACTTGTCACGAATTTGACTGCTTATACGCTATCGTTACAGGGTCCGAGTATTCTGTCTATAATCCGCTGTACTTCGTTGCCCTATTTCGCTGTGACGCTCGCCCGTTGATTCACAGACCTATCTGAAGGAGATTTTGAACGAGGTGTGTAATTACAATCTGAAGAATCCCCATCGGAACATGTACGAGCTGAAGCCCGAGTACCGACATTACAAGGAGGACGAGGACTAGTCGACGACAGTCTTTGGTGGCTTTCATTACACCAGGAGCTCTCTTCCGCCGCGTCCGCCAATCGACGGGCCTCAACTTAGCGAGAGGAGCGCCGCCAGCGGTGCCGGGGTGTGTTTCTATCACGGCATGTAGTGTGAACGGGCTGCTCTTCTGAAACTCTGTGCTGGTTCGGCAGTAAGGCTCCTCGGCTGTTTCGGCTAGAATTGTCGTTATGAATGTGCTGATGGAGATGCATTATCCAGCCTCTCTTGTTTATCCAAGGAGACAGTCTTACACAGTTTCACCCATGCGTATTATCATCGCTTACTGGGCTTGTCTCTTCTTGCGTCTGGCTACTTTTGGCATTTCGATCAATCACGCTGTATTGGTTAGGCCTTTATGATTACGTATTTTGCTTTCTAGCTTATCGGTCGTATACTCCATTATCCGATATCGAGAGACCCTTCCAGAGGACAGCTTTTACAGGGTGGCCGCTCAACCCGGTACTGAAGCGTATTCTTTGCTCGTTCAATTGTTTGAACTTGATTCTCTCGTTCCGCAAGAGTACATTAAATCTCTTTACCAGCTGTCAGTTCAGTAGGGCTCCCTTCGTCTTGTATGGGCACTTCTCATCATGCGCACAATAGTTCCCCTGCGGTTCATGATCGTGATCTGTTCTCAAAGTTCTCATACTCTGGTCAAGTTAAGAACTTGTTTTCTTTCATCTGATCAGTGAGCCATACACATGAAAAAGCATTGACGATGTCAGCTGTTCTAATATTTGCTCATATTTTGCTTTTTATAGTTCCTAAATCTAAGCATTGTTCAAACATTTCACTGAAGTATTGGTCCGTTCGGTGCCGTTTCTAGTTGCGTGCTTTTCGTGCAAGGTATGGCCATTGGTCAGCGTGCTAAACATGAACTGGCGATTGGCCTCATGGCTCAGTTAATGATCACGTGACACTAGGCTGAAGTCTGAATGTTGCCAGCTGGCTGCGGCGTGTGTGGCGCTAGTGTGTCACGTGACACCAGGCTGTTGTCCGAGTGTCGTCAGGTGGCTGCGGCAGCGTGTGGCGCTGTTGTGGGTGAGCCGGGAGGGTAGGTGGCGGGGTGGACAGTGTGTCAGGGGCGGGGCGCTGGTGCCGAGCGGCGCTCGTGTGTGGTGATGAGACACGCCCGTGCCGGGCAGTCTGTGATAGTCGGGACCGGCCGACTGTGATGTGCCCGGTTTGCAGGCGACCAGCCTTTTCAGGCTGTCTCACCGGCTGTGTTGTTCCTTATTGAGCCTGATAGGTGAACGGCTGGGCACTGAAATACATTTTCAAATACACATGACCCCAACTACTGTTCTTTGTATGAGATCTATGTGGGTGCGTATTATTTAGGCCAGGGTTCATAATGTCCAGGGCACAATGTGTCCAGTGCTCGAAATGGCCAGTGCCTTGAATTGGCCCGTGTTCACATTGTCCAGGGATTACATGGTCCAAATGTGGCCAACTGGCTGCAGATAGGGTAAATTCAAAGAGGCCAGGGTTCATAATGTCCAGGGCACGATGTGTCCAGTGTTCGAAATGGCCAGGGTTCATAATGTCCAGGGTACGATGTGTCCAGTGTTCGAAATGGCCAGGGTTCATAATGTCCAGGGCACGATGTGTCCAGTGTTCAAAATGGCCAGTGCCTTCAATGGGCCAGAGTTCATAGTGTCCAGGGATTACATAGTCAACCCAACCCAACCAAACCTAACCTAACCTAACCTAACCTAACCTAACCTAAGGTAATGATGTTTGCCTACCGGGGATAAGGAAATAGTTTCTCGCATGAATAGATTGCAAGCAATAGTAAATCAAATATTTTTAGGTTAAGTGGTTATGCATCAGGCTTCAGGCCTTCGGCCTGAAGCCAGATACATAACCACTTAACCTAAAAATATTTGATTTACTATTGCCTGTAATCTCTCCTAAGGCATTGCCTTCGGCACTGCACTGCTTCGCATTGAGCTGGTTCCGTGTTTTTTTACATAATGACGTCACTATCAGTGACTATGTAATCCCTGGACATTATGCACTCTGGCCCATTGAAGGCACTGGCCATTTTGAATACTGGACATATCGTGCCCTGGACATTATGAACCCTGGCCATTTCGAACACTGGACACATCGTGTCCTGGACATTATGAACCCTGGCCATTTCGAACCAAGATACCTATAAGAAACAGGTAGGTCCGATGTTTTGAGTAAAGCCCACGTAAAGCCCTGGTGACGTCACTGACATTTCTTATATGGAGAATTTCGCCCATAAGAAAAATATTTTACATACGAAAATTTGTATTTCATTCGGAAAAAATACATTCTATCAATTTCATCATGAAACTTATATAATTTAATTAAAAAACTTGAAATCCTTTGAGTGCTTGTCCCAACCCCTGCTAAACCTTTGGTCACGTGACTTCCATAATAAACTTTGCGTTTTGCAATGTTATGACTTAAACAGAAGCAATAAATGTTACAAGCGTATTATTTATGATGTTTTAGGCAGCAATCGTGTAATAACATCCTTGAATTATATACATTCTGCTTAAAAGAGGTCACGTGATGCTACCAGATTGTGCTCGGACAGCATCTTCTTGAACTTCGATTTTGAGTACTTTTTACCTTCATTGAGTCCTAATAACGGACGTTTTTAGTTATAAAATGAAGCAATGAATCTATTGAGGGCAAAATTTAATCATTTTTGCACTTTCAAGCCGGGCTATCCTGGCATGAACTTCGGCCGGTTTGTGTGTGAAGCCTATGGTGAAGGGAAAACTTCACGCCCGGCTGACGTCACAGACCTCGGCTACCAAATCGTGTCCGGTGGGGGTCGTTTCGAACACTGGACACATCGTGCCCTGGACATTATGAACCCTGGCCTCTTTGAATATACCCTATCTGCAGCCAGTTGGCCGCATTTGGACCATGCAATCCCTGGACATTATGAACTCGGCCCATTCAAGGCACTGGCCATTTCGACACTGGGCATATCGTACCCTGGACATTATGAACCCTGGCCAGAATGAATGCTCCCCGATCTATGTTACCCTCAGACATGGCTGGAGTTGAATGGAGCAGAGGGAGGGATACTATTAGATTAAGCTAAAGATGAATTGATAGATACGGAGAGATGAAGATGGAGTGATAGTGGGATGGAGAAAGAGATAGATAAGTAGAGATGCCAGATGGAGAGCTAGAGGGACAAGAGATGGAGAGGTAGAGAGATAGATGGATGGATATAAAGACGAGAGAGAGAGAGAGAGAGAGAGAGAGAGAGAGAGAGAGAGAGAGAGAGAGAGAGAGAGAGAGAGAGAGAGAGAGAGAGAGAGAGAGAGAGAGAGAGAGAGAGAGAGCGAGAGCGAGAGCGAGAGCGAGAGCGAGAGCGAGAGCGAGAGCGAGAGCGAGAGCGAGAGCGAGAGCGAGAGCGAGAGCGAGAGCGAGAGCGAGAGCGAGAGCGAGAGCGAGAGCGAGAGCGAGAGCGAGAGCGAGAGCGAGAGCGAGAGCGAGAGCGAGAGCGAGAGCGAGAGCGAGAGCGAGAGCGAGAGCGAGAGCGAGAGCGAGAGCGAGAGCGAGAGCGAGAGCGAGAGCGAGAGCGAGAGAGAGAGAGAGAGAGAGAGAGAGAGAGAGAGACGCACCACAGATAACAAACATTTCATTTCGAAGACAAACATGACTCACTTATCAGTGTAAACATCACATGTTAACCCTCGCCCGTAAACGGCGATCTGCCACCTTCGCCCATGCAGGGGGGGGGGTTGGTGCGACCCCCCCTTGGCGTTTGAAAACGGAGCGTCGTAGAGCTTAGCGGAAAAGACCAACGGATTGCTCTCGCCGAGATCTCGCGATTGGTGGTACATTTTTGGTCCTAGGTCAACATTTGACCTACTTTTGACCGGTCAAAGGTCAAATTTTCGGAAAAATATACTTTTTTCAACTTTCCGCGGCGATTGCGGCAAAACGGTGGGAGATATCGACTTGAAACCTTCACTATCGTGTTCCTTGATCAATTCTCTATCGTTTGGTATGTATTTCGTTTCCCTAGCTCTAAAAATGGCGCGTTGGGAGCGCCGGAAGTCGGCAAGGTCGCAGTCGGCGGCAGAAATTCGAAAAAAAAACAAAATTTAAATTTTTGAAATCTGATTGTATTTTTGGATTTGGGAGGTCCATTTGCTCCCTATAGAAGCTAATATTGCTGCATATTCCCATTGAGGTGACAAGAATTAGCAAAATAGTGGTTCGGGCGCTTTTCAAAAATAGTACCGGACGCTGTTCCTCTTCTGACGTCATAGCTCCGTGACCTGACCTGACCCGGTCAAGTTTCTTATACCATATGATAGCCAATACTTGCCCCAACATGCATGGGAAGTTTCATCACGATCCATCAACCGATGTCCGTACCACCGACAGGAAACCTCGGGCGTTGGCACTCAGTTTGTGAAAATCCGGCCGGAGGCTGTTCCCTTTGTGACGTCATAACTCCGTGACCTGACATGACCCGGTCAAATTTTTTTATCAAAAGATGTGCAAGGTTTGCCCCATAAGGTACCCAAAATTTGGCGGCGCTGCGCGCCGCCGTTTTTGCACTATTTCCGAAAAGCCTCAGGGGGGGGGGGGGTTGCACCAACCCCCCCCCTACATGGGCGAGGGTTAATGGGTGGTGCCCACCCCACAGATGTCTTAAGGTATGTTGCGTTATTCCGGTACTGCTCGGTTTGTCCTACCGGACCAATACGAGGGTCGGACCAGGTCGGACCACATAAAACCGCAGCATCGTGGCTCCAGCTCCCCCTCTGAAACACGTTTGATCCACCCTACCTCTCTGTGTTCGTAACCATCACGCAAGCTTCAGTGTAAGTGCATTACTACTGTAGAGCCGTTGCGCTCAATTGCATTGCTTCTCTTGTAGCTGGTCAGCCAATCATTGTGTTCCCCGTCTCGGCCACCGCCCGTCTTATGCGCCGGCAGAGCTGAGGCCCAGCTATTTTGGCATGTGACTTTCAATCTGTCGCTCAAAACATCCTTTCGATCTGGTGAACCACGGTTATCTGTCGCTCAATACATCCTTCTCGATCTGATGTATCGAACACCTACAATGTTAACCCGCGCCCTGGTGGGGTCTGTTTATAACGCGACCTGGTGGGGGGGGGGGCTATTTTTTGCCCCCCCCCCCCTCGTATCTCCGAAACTACTGGACGGATCCGCAAAATTCAAACGGCGTTCGAAAGGCCTGTCAAATTTGTCTGAGGAAACCAAATTTCATTGACCTCGGGGTCACCGATGACGTCACAGGCCAGGTCATAGATGAAATGTTTCACCGTTCACGGGTCTTCTAGGGAATCCGCTATAACACCAAGGAAAACGCATTTTGTCGAGAATCAGCGATAGGGCGTCAGTTGCCTAGTAGATATGTTGCTATTAGAGGTCACTGACAATACCAGGTCAGGTCACAGGTCAGGTCACCAAGGGTCACAGGTCAGGTCACATGAACCCAACTTTACTAAGGTTGTGTGATGCATGTTTTATGGCCAATTTTTCATTTCCAACTCAATGGTGTTGGTTATAAGCCTATCAGGTACGGCTTAGGTCACTTTCTGGTGAAGGTCAGGTCAAGGTCAGGTCAAGGTCAGGCCAAAAAAGGTCAAATTTTAAAGTTGATAGTTTTGCATAAAATGGGTATTGATTCGATGCAGCTCGTCACGGGGAGTCTAATGGTGGTCTTTGTTTTGCGCTATGGGGTCTAGAATTGCTAAGAATTGAGATTGAAAATTTGACGTCATCAATTTTGAACAGTTTTTTCGCTATAACTTCGCCAAAAAAGAGGTATCAATCTCAAATTTGGTATGTGGATGGAAGGCGGTAAGGACTATCACATATAGGTAGGGGAAGTTGGGGGAACGCCGAATACTTTTTTCTGACGCCCGTAGCACGCAAGGTAGACAACATAAGCTATTCTTGTTGGCGTCATTCGAGAGGCCAGTCTTTTGCCTTTCAAACATACCAGGCGCATTTGATGAATTCGCATACCGTTAAGCGCACAAACAAAAAATATCAAAGAAGTGACTTTTTCGGCGTTGCCCCGGACTGCGGGGAAAGCCGAACATGGGAGAAATGATCTACGGGGAATGCCGACATTGATGGTTTGCCACTTTATCTCAAACTTTATCCAGAATTTATCAAAGCTGACACGCGTTTTAAGAGCTTGAGGACGCTTGGTGCACACTGGAAGTTATAATTGTGTGATATAATAAGAAAATGCCAGGTAAATAATTCCTTATAGGTAACAGGCCGTTGTGTCGGTTGAAAGTGTAATTTGTGTG